GTTTTCCAGAGAAATAGAACCAAAAGGATACACATTTATACAGTCAGAGATTTATCTTAAGGAATTGGCTCACGTGATTGTGGAGGCTTCACGGGTCAAAATCTGACTGAGGACTCTGGAAGGCTTGAGACTCAGGAGAAAGTTACAGTTCTGGACCAAAGGCAGTCTGCTGGAGAACCAGGAAGAGGCAATACTGCAGGGAAGTCCAAGGGCAATCTCCTTAAAGATCACCTCTTGCTCAGGAGAACCAGCCTTTTGTTTATTCTGGCCTTCAATTGATTGGATAAAGCAATCTGCTTTGCTTAAAGACAGTGATTAAAATGTAAATCTCATCCAAAAATGCCTTCACAGAAACATCCAGAATATTGTTTGGCCCAATGATCTGGGCACTGTGGCCCAGCCAAGTTGACACATTGAATTGTCACAGAGCACATGTGATAAATCATTCTCTTACTTCATACAAATATACCTTCTATATAGGGTTCAGTGCAATAGCAAAATTCATAGTAGTCATTAGTGGTATGGAAGAAAATCCCCTCAGGAGTACAATGGACTTCATTCTTAGTTATCCACAGAAAAAGAAGAATGGAACATGTTCTGCGTACTTGGGACTGCATGAGCTATTATCTGCTGGAGACTGAAGTGATTCTCCTTTATACTAGATAGAAGGATTGGGGTAGAAATACATACAATTGCCAGAGCATCTGTATAATGCAAGAGAAAGATTAACACAGAGAACTTCTTTCCTAAAACAAAACTGTAGCCTGATATATACCTTTGCATTTCCACTTTGCAGCTTGAACAATGCAACAAAAATTTTACTCCAACAAGTCTTTGATACATCATTTTTAATAATTATAGTTAAGACCAGTCCTTCATGTTCTTGTCAACACTCAAACCAGGTTTTTTACCAAACTTCATAGTCAATGGAATAAAATGGAATTAATAGGCTTAAAAGAATAAATATCTTCAAATGACCTTTGTGCTTATCATATACAGAGAATTATTGAGCTAGAAAAGCCTGTCCCTCAAAAAGCTTATTACATGTTGAGAGGACCTATGAAAAGTCAATCCACAAATGTACATAAAATTTGAAAGTGTTACAGTAACACATTGTAAAACCATTTTAGAAACTACTACAGTTTTCCCAAAAGTTATAATCAACTTGGAGATTATAAAAATACTTTATAATCCTTCATTGCTAAAAACAGCCTCCTTAAAAGCAAGGCTTCCATTTCTGGCACATTCCTGCAGCCCTCACAGGATCTAATGTGTTCACACTCCAGATGCTTAGTAAAAACCATGGAGGATCATAGTTCATCAGATGAGCTCCTGACTAATTTTCCATATTAAATAAGATACATTTTCCAATACCTGTAAGTATCATCAACATTATTACCCCACACACGATGACTTCTGTTTTGCCAGTGAAGAATTTTAGTGTTGGGGCAACTGGGTGGCTCAGCTGGTTAAGTGGCTCAGGTCATGATCCCAGGATCCTGGGACTGAGCCTGGCATTGGGCTGCCTGCTCAGTAGGGAGCCTGCATCTCCCTCTCTTTCTGCCCCTCCCTCTTGCTTGTCCTTACTCACTCTCTCTCTCTCAGTCAAAATAAGTAAATAAAGTCTTAAAAAAAAAAAAGAATTCTAGTGTTAAGTATAGCCTTTGCATCCCAAAAACAACATAGGCTTTCCAATTAAAAAACAAAACAAAACAAAACCTGCAGTTTGTATTGCAATTGACTTATGTCTGCATGCCTGAAAACTTCCTCACATTCTAACTCAGTAATACTGTTATATACTAGTCTACGAATACAACGTGGGTTTCTTAAATTCTACATAAGAGTGAAATCATATGGTATTTGTCTTTCTCTGACTGACTTATTTCACTTAGTGTAATACTCTCATCACATCACTGCAAATGACAAAATTTCATTTTTTTGATGGCTGAGTGATAGTATGTGTGTGTATATATATATATATATACACCATATATACATACACACACACATATATATATACCACCTCTGTGTGTGTGTGTGTGTGTGTGTGTGTGTATGTATATATGTATATATACACACACATACATACATACCACCTCTTTATCATTCATCAGTGGATGGACATTTGGGCTCTTTACATAATTTGGTTTTGTGGAAAAAACAAATGATCATAGGGGGAAACAAGAGAGAGGAAAACTAAGAAACAGACTCTTAACAATAGAGAAGAAACTGAGGATTACCAGATGGGTGAAGGGGGGATGGGTATAATAGGTGATGGGGATAAAGGAAGGCACTTGTGATGAGCACCAGGTGTCATATGTAAGTGTTGAATCCCTAAGTTGTAGACCTGAAATGAATATTACACCATACACTAACTGGAATTTTTAAAACATGTTAAAGAATACAATATGGGAACGTGGGAAATTCATGAACATTGTTTATAAGGATTTTTTTTCTTTTAATGTGCATTTATAATGAAAAGTTAAAGAACATCTGGCTTATAACTGATCTGAGACTAATGTAACCGACCAAAAATGGAGGAATAGTTAAGTGAGTGATATATCTATTAATACAACCATAAAAATTTATGTTCACAAAGACTTCATAATGGATTGTTAAATTACCTACAAAACGGATAAAAATGCATTATACAGTATTTGCATATAACTATATAATTTAAATATTTAAAGTCTACTAATAAAAAATAGTCATGAGGGAGAACATCAAAGTAAATTCTGCAAAAACTTTCACTTCATTTCTATTTCTAGATATTTTCCACATTGGGTCCAATATACATACATTGCTGTTAAAATGGAGGAAAAATATGATTTTAGTAATGGAGGTGGAGGGAGAAAGAGAACAACAAGGTTTGGGGTGGGGGGAAGTTTGCGTGAAGCTGAAGGATACAGAAGCCCGCACTCAAGGGCTCAGGTTTGTATAAAGATGATGGCATTCAATATTCCCTGTCAAGTATCATTCTCAGGCAGAAACGGTAGTTGTCTATGCGCCCTCTGAGCCTAGTTTTGAGAGATACCAGTAAAAAAGAGGTGTTTTCCTATTGCTTTATATCTACTCAGCAACTGCTGCTGTTCTCCCTGACTCAACGGTCTTCAAACCATGGTTCGCCACTACCTGTGGCCTGTTTGGGGACAAGGATACACACTACAGCTGAAGGATTCCAACATACTTAGGATCAGGCCCTGGAAAGGGTCAGGACTACCCAATTTATGATACAATCCTGCCGAAGTCCTTTGTCAAGGGCCGACTAAATGCATACCCAGGGGCTCGGGAAAAACATTCCCTGAATCTGGGGCAAACAACACAAAGTATCACTTAGGGTTCTCTGTCAACCACCGAAATCAAACACGGCTACTTCAGTCAAACTAAACTTGATTGGAAAGTGAGTCCTTTACAGAGGAAAAACTCATCATGTCTCCTGAAGGATAAGAGCCAGGATGGTACTGAATTTTCCATCAGAAGCTCTCGAACCATCCCTTTTCTGAGAGTTGCCATCTGAATGACTTAGCTCCCATGTCCAAACTGGAGTCATTCCGCTCCATGATTAAAATTCTTGGGGAGAAAATGTAAGAGGATGGCCTTGGACCATGTATTGATTCCTCTGGCCAGAAGAAAACCCCACCAGGATCCCATGGCATAGATCGAAGTTATTCCCTAAAGGGAAGACGTATGTTGGGACTTTCCCTAGATGGTCCCAGTTTATATGTGTTTTTCAGGAATAACTATAAATAGCTTCATTTTCACTCACGGAAGTGTTCGAGTTTAGGTAATAAATTGCATGGTCACTCTATGCAAAGGAAAAAATGAGGCATTATTACCAAAGACGGGGAGGTAATGTTGAGCAGATGAAAATAGAATGAAACTATTAGAAAGAACTGAAGCAAAGTGTTTGCTCCCAATCTCTCAGGTCAAAAGATAAGAATCAGAGTCAAAAGCCCTTATCAGTCTTTTGCTTCTGACTCCAACATAAAATTAACATTCCTATACTCACTCCCTGTGTGTTGAATTATTATGACTTTAACCAATAGTTCCATCTCCTTGTCTTCCTATGTCCTTGCAGCTAAATCCCTAAATGTTCAAGTGTTCTCTTTTGCTGCTGCTTTTTTATAGCTTAATTGGTGCCCTCCTGCTTTCCAAAATAGAATGCTAACATCCATTCACCCAGCTGGAGGAGGGTCAGGGTGATACCAGATCCAATATTCCCCAAAGCTTGTGTAGGATGGTTGCTGTGTTCCTGCTGCTGACTAATAATAAGGACTCAAAAATCACCTTTTGATTCTGATTTCCTCCGAGAGGCTGTTCTACAAGCATGGGGTCAACTTAAAGGAAAAGGGTTTTTGTTTAATATTTTCTCCTTTCATTAGTGCACTTAAATTACTTTCTTGCAAACTCTGCTTGTTACCTAAATGTACTAGCACTTATGTTACCTAATTAGCTTTCTTATCAGAATTCCAACCAAAAATAACAAGAAATGTAATAATGATAAGGTATCCTGCCCCCTCAAAACAGATTTCCTTTTGCGCTTTATCTCTTGGTGCTGTTCTGGCTTGTTTAATTAAAGTATCAGAAATTATTAGACTCAAATTATTTCTTGATCTAGTGCTCAAATTCTCCTGAAAAACTGCTTCTTTTGCCTCAGTATTTAAACCTTTATCAGTGTGAGGCAGATGAGTTTCCACACGTATGCAACAGGATTCATATAATACAATATAAGTTTGGAGGAGGAGCCTAATTAGCCTCTAAATAATTAGACAAACAAGTCAGATTTGGCTACACTGGGCTACTGTGAACATTTAAATACTTGTGTCTCCTCTCCTGTGCTCCCCCATGTTAATGTGCAAAAAACCCCATGAAACTTTAGCATGGAGTTGTGAAATTCAAAGCAAAGATCTTATTTATTTTTTCATTAGAAGGGTGGGAGTAAAAAAAAAAAATCACTAAGTTCAAAACACTGACATAAGTTGCGTTTAAGGAGGGTAGTCATGTCTGTTATAGACTTTAAAACCACGGATGAGAAAGTATCTTTACATCACAGCTGCAAGAAAGAGAAAACTCAAAGACATACTGGTTATTTTGCTTCAACATATGCTGTGAAAAAAATTTGGGTTGGAATCTGTTTGCTTCTGGTGGAGATGTGTGAGAGGTTCACTTTCTTTGAAGTCGTCTGCAACATGATCCCCTTTTGCACTGTCAAGCTTGGCTATCCCAATTACCAGGCAGCCATTTTGAACTTGTGTTTTATTGGAACTTCAATAATTAGCCCTATGTTTGCGGGATGGCTTGCTGATGTCTGTCTAGGAAGAAACAAGCTGGTATATGCTTGCTTATGTCTACATTTTCTAGGTGAGTATCCTCTTCTGACTGGATCGTTTTGCAACTTAATTGATTTTTGTTAGGATTTTTACTCTTATCCTTATCTTGCTCTAAGTATAAAATGTGATAAATGAAGTAAGAATGTTGTCTCAATTTACTTTGTTCTCTGTATTATTGGAGGGATGCTAGTAAATGCATGTGTGTGTGTGTGTGTGTGTGTATGTGTGTGTATCCTTTGATACCTATATTGTTGCACTGATTATATTTTATAATAATTATCTCTTTACATATCTGTCTTCTGTACTCCTTCAAACACCCTCCCTTCCCCCCTTCCTACCCCAAGCCCAAATTTGTGACAAATTCTATGTGTAACATGAAGTTCATCTGCTTCACAACTAAGATGAAATGTGCTAAAAAGGTTTCTGAAGTTCATGTACAATAATTGAAGAATGTTTTCATCAAAAGGTGGTTCTTAATTAGTCATAGAGTAATTAAGATTGAATATGGAGACATGATTTCTAGATTATGAACTATGGCTACATGCTAAATAAATGAATGAATTTAAATGCTACACTAAGCTCCTTCACATAGAAAAAAACAAATATATCTACAAAACACTGGGAGTGAAAATATATCTACAAAACTTTGGGAGAGAAGTGCTCATGAGAAATGGGGAAAAATCAAGACTGTTTGATAAGGTATAGAAAGTAAGTTGATGAAGAGTCTAGAATTTTGGGCTAAAAAGTTCAAGTTGTTCTTCTGGACATCAAGGAGTCACTGAAGATATGATGAAACACATCTGGGAAGTGTTTTTCTTCAGTAAACAGGAGAGGCAACCACAGTGAGAGGTTCAATAGCAGGAGACCAGGATATCCCAGGAGGATGGTCTAGGAGAAGTGTCAATCCAGGAGAGAATATGTGAAAAACTATGAAAACCTTGGCAACTAAACAAGAGAACAAATATGGTAGAGAAACAAAAATTAACTCCAAGTTTCTGAGCTGAGGAACTTAGGAAGTTAGTATGTAGTTCACCGATACTATGAAATGGAGCAAAAATGCAGGTTTGGGGGGGTAGGGGAAGAGATAAATGAGGAAGGGATGGATATCAGGTATTCAATATACCCCCCAGTTTCAGATGATAAATTACCATTCACCATTCATCACTTAGAGTGTGATTCAAACTTATAACTCTTCACTGTGTCAGTTTTGTTAAGTAAAAACAAAGTCTCTGTACGGCAAATATTCACTCAACATTCAACAAATACTCTTCAGTGACCGCTCTGTGGCACGCGTTCTCCCAGATCTAGGAATGCAACAGAAAAGAAAACAGTCTCGTCTCTGTCAAAGGTGACTTTCTGGTGCACCTGGGTGACTCAGTGAGTTTGGCATCTGCCTTCAGCTCAGGTCATTATCTCAGGGTCCTGGGATCGAGCCCCACATCGGGCTCTCTGCTCGGCAGGGAGCCTGCTTCCCCCTCTCTCCCTCTGCCTGCCTCTCTGCCTACTTGTGATCTCCCTCTCTCTGTCAAATAAGTAAATAAAATCTTTAAAAAAAATAAATAAATTTTTAAAAGGTGACTTTCCTGTATGGGAAAGAGAAAATAAATGAGCAAATGATATTATGTCAAATGCTCAGGAGTGTTATGATGAAAAATATAGGAGGGTAAGGGGGTAGAGACAGAGCAGACTAGACAGTGACATGGTTGCTGTTCTGTATCAGGAAATGTTTTCTGATAAGGAGATGTTTAAGCAAGCATCTGAATGATTTGCTCTTCCTGACTTGGTAACAGGCCATATCCATGGCCCTTGGCAACTTCTTATTTAGCATGGCAATTCCTATCAGTCTAAATTCCCATGTAAGCCGTCAGACTAGGACTGAGTCCCAATTTTAGAATTTGACAAATAAAAGACCCAAGTCAACTCCATATCCATTCATTTTCTTACTAAAAACTATTTCCTTGTGTCCCCACTCATGGCTGCCATCAATTTCCAACCAGTCACTGAGTATCAGAGGTTCTACCAAAAATGTGTCTTCTGTTTCAAATGCTAATCCTTAGCTCAAAAATGCGGCTTTCTTTTTCTTGACCATTACACTGGACTACTTACTGGGCTATTGGAGGTCAGTATGACTCCAATCCATATACATTTCTATTTACAACACTAAGGATAAACAAAAATAAATCTATATAGATCTATATAAGTCTATAGAATAAATCTATATATTGGCTTTATTATCTAAAAAACAAAATCCAATTTAGTACATAAGAATCTTTACAATCTGTCCCAAATTTAACTTTCTAGACTTTTCTCTCAGTATATGACCTCAACCCTGCTGAACTTTTGCTTGCCTCTAATCCCCTACTTCTCTACTGTTACTTATGCATTTTTTTTCTATGCCTGAAATTGTCAACCTTCCTTTATCTTCCTACCCCATAGCCAAGACTTGAAAAATCCTGTCCTTCTTTCAAGACCCACATTGTTTAACCACATTCTAATCATACCTCTATAATTTCACTTACCACATTAAAATCTAATTTCCACCTGGTTATCTGTCCTCTTTGATGGACTTGTTAGCTCCTAGCAGAGGCTATGACACATCCTGGTGTTTTATACAAAGCTACTCTGAATGTGTGCTGAATATGCAGTGCCCAATATAGCACATATCAAAGAGGAGACTTTCTATCATACATGTCATAGACTTGTATTTTCATTACTTCAATTTTACAACAGATAAAAATAAAGTTTTGATCTAATGAAATCAATACACTATGACATTTCCTCAAAAAGATGGAAGGAGTGTGTCTTTCTAATTTACACAAATGGACCACTAAAAGCGCTTTGTCTTTAAGCATATGGTTTCTGCAAGAAATAACTCTCTGCCTATCCCCTTTGGACAACCCTTAGCCTCCCCAGGCCTCACATCATACTTCCAGAGATACAAAGGATTGAGTGGCAGGGAGAAAGCAGTTGGTATCATATCTGGCCAAACTTCATAGGAAATGTTTCAAACTCAGTTATATAAAGGGCCCGTTCTCATGGTAAATCTATTTGTTACCACATATTGAGTGCATATATTCTTCAGGTTGTAAAAGCCATTGTAAGGGAGATAAAACCTTAGACCCTAATTTCTGCCTTTAAGGAACTTATAGTCCAACTGAGAAAAGTAACCACATACAGCCGCCATATAAAAAATCATACCAAAAATATGAATGCTTAATTAATAAAATGGAGGACAAAAATAACAGGGAGAAGCCATTTTTCACTAATCAAATTGACCACACACCCACAAAAAAAGATGATTTGACCAGTTGATAGGAATTATGAAAAGTAGCAGATTACATCTGGGATACTCTATAACATTGGGCAAGTCACTTAACCTCCCTGAACCTGTGTTGTTGTTTTTTTTTAAACTTAGAAGAAAATCTATCTTCTGACATCACAAAGTTTTTCCAAGATGAAATAATATAATACATAAAAATGTTTTACAGAATTTAAAGAGCTTAGCAAAAGTATGGAATTGAATTATAATTTCTACCAAACAAAGGAAATGTTTAAGTTTACTCCCTGCAAGATGGAAGGCAAAAGAGGATGGACTCCCACCCCTTGTCCCTTCCTGTCTTCCCCCTCCTGCTGTCCAGTACGGAATCACCCACCTCACCTTCTCACCTCTGTGTTTGCCAAGATGGCTCTGCTCAGTGGCCTCAGAAGTGAGAGAAATCAAAGGGCATGAATAGGAGAAAGAGAAGTAGAAAAGGCAAAGAGATCTATGCTCTTGTTGCCTCTATGATAATGTTCTCTGTAAAACATTTTCTTTAGGGGCGCCTGGGTGACTCAGGGGGTTAAAGCCTCTGCCTTAGGCTCGGGTCATGATCTCAGGGTCCTGGGATCCGAGCCCCACATTGGGCTCTCTGCTCAGCAGGGAGCCTGCTTCCCCTCTCTCTCTGCCTGCCTCTCTACCTACTTGTGATCTCTGTCTGTCAAATAAATAAATAATATCTTTAAAAAAAAATTTTTCTTTAACAAGAAAGTTAAAAGTTACTGACAAGTCTGATATCTCTGAGTTTTCTATCACTCTAGTGACTGAGGAAAAATAGCCCTTACTAACAGTGGTTTTCTCTGGGGGGTGAGATTACAGGCATCTCTCGCTTCTTATATATTTCCCAATTTTGTTAAAACGGACATGATTTGCTTATATACCCTGCAAGAGAAGCTAGGTCAAGTCTAAGGGGGGAAAAACTAGGCCTCTGGATTAATTAAAAGACATAATGAAGAAAATGTTCACATTTAGAAAAATTATCCTGTCTCCAGAATTGCAGTGACTAACAAGTATTTCAAGAAGACAATCACACAATGCTGCTCCTTTCAGAGGAAAAACCTTATTTAAAATGTGGTTTGGTGATTCAGGTGGCCTATGCCATATTTATTCTCCTTTTTTTCTCTGTCTACAGGCACTGCATTGTTATCTGTGGTTGCTTTTCCCTTGGGAGATTTCTATATAGGCACTCACCATATGATTAACCATATACCAAAAAAGGAGCAGAAGAAGCTGTTTTACACAGCATTGCTGGCCATCTGCCTTGGCACAGGAGGACTGAGAGCCATCGTCTGTCCACCGGGTGCTTACAGCCTTAAGGAGCATGGATCCCAGAAACAAATGTCTTTTTTTAACTGGTAAGCACCACTGGGTAGGAGTGAAATGAGCCTTACAACATTCTTCTCCCTCCTGGGATTTCTCTTGTTTGCCCTCTGGTCCCATGTTGATGGCAGTAATTCAGTGTTTGTTATTGACTGGTCTGGGTCAAGTGACAATGTGACAGTGCCTTGGACAATGATTCAGCCAGTAAGTGTGGGAGCCCATGAGTTGGGTACAGACGAACGCAGCTTACCAGCACCTTCTGGAAGCACACTGATACATTTACCTTCCAAATAAACCAGTGTGAAGTGGCTTGTCACACCCAACAGAAGGTGGTTTTGGAGCCAAACAGGCCTCAACTCTACTTAACACAAGCTGTCTGACCTTGGTAAAGTTGTTTATTCTCTATAAGTTTTAATCATTTTTTTAAAGATTTTATTTATTTATTAAACACAGAGAGAGAGAGAGAGAGAAAGAAAGAGAGAGAGAGAGAGCACAAGCAGGAGGTGTGGCAGAGGGAGAAGACTCCTCACTGAGTAGGGAGCCGGATGTGGGGCTCGATCTCAGGACCCTGGGATCATTCCCCAAGCTGAAGGCAGACGCTTAACTGAATGAGCACAAAGGTGCCCCCTCAGTTTAATCTTTGTGAAGGCTTATTATAATCCCTCTTCTTGGGTTTTATTAGAGGCAATAATATGTGTCTTGCAGGCAGAAAATCTGGCACATAGTAGGGGATCCCAAATGGTAGCTGTTACTAGCCCTGTCTACCCTGTAGGAGGAGAATTGGGCAGAGATTATAAATTCACAGGCAGTGCAGAGAGAAGATAAAAAGGACAGAAAAAGTATTTTACAATTTGTTGAAACATAAACCAGCCTTCTGTCTGGAATCCACTTCACCCTTAACACCTAAAAGAGTTTGTATTCCATGAAAATCAAACCACCTTCCTGGGAATCTGTTTCTCTCCCAGTGAGTTCTTACACAGTTTTATGCAGTTTTAAGGAACCAGTTTTTATTATCAAATACAAATTCCAAAAAAATTTTTGATCTTAAGGTAGAATATTTTGTTATTATTCATCAGTGAATGTCAAGTATATCTGAGATACATTATTTTGTTCCCTCTTCTCTGTGAAATGAGTTGTCAGCATTTTTCTAAATATTCTGTCTTTCCACCAATGTTAGCAATGGAAAAAATCAAGGCACAGAGAGAATCAGACAAAACGTTTAAAGAAAACTCATATTTAAAGCATCAAATGAAAAAAAAACTTAGCATAAATAATCCCGGTATATTTAACTATCCAAGGCAGTCAGTTTCTTTCTCTCCTTCTTTCTTTCCCTCTCTCTTTCTCTCTCCCTCTTTTTTTTTCTTTCTTTCTCTTCTTTCTTTCTTTCTTTCTTTCTTTCTTTCTTTCTTTCTTTCTTTCTTTTTTTTTTTCCTTTCTTTCTCCCCCCACCCCAATTATATTAATATTACAAAGCACTCAGGCCTATTTTGGATTCAGTCCAAATGTCAGAAAACAATGCAGTTTTACCAAAGGTGGAAGGGACTCTTTACTTCCTTATAGCAAATTCTGCCTCCTTGACCTGCCCAAAGGAGAAAGAAAAATCCTTCTTTTTTATTCTATTCGGAGGTTTTAATCCTTAATTAGCAACATCATTTTGATTAAATAAGACTCTGGAGGATTAAGACTGGAGAGCAATCAGTTGTTCTGAAAGATAGCTCTGGAGAATTTATTGTACTATGGTCTTAGTCATTCAGAGTTGTGTTTAATCAAAGTGACATTTCTCAGTGTTGATTACAAAGGAGACATTATATGAATGAAATATTTCCTTTGGGGAAGGGGGGGGACTCCCAATGGGTTTGTACTTTAGGCCTTGAAAGGGGGGATGGGGAGTGGGGTGAAAATGAATTTCTGCAGCGTGAGCAGCCAGGCCAAATTTAAGATGAACACGTTTCAATGTGGTTTCTTATTATTTCCTAATTTCGCTAAAATCTCTAATAAAAAGAGTCATGCAGGGGCGCCTGGATGGCTCCATTGGTTGAACATCTGACTTGGTTTTCTGCTCAGGTCATGATCTCAGGGTCAAGAGATCTAGCCCATATCAGCTCCGTGCTCAGTGGGGAATGTGTTGAGATTCTCTCTCTCTCTCCCCCTCTCTTCGAATTTTCCCACCACACTCTCATGCTTTCTCTCTCTCTCTCCCCTAAAGATAAATAAATATATTTTTAGAAAGAAAGAAAGAAAGAAAAAAGAAGGGAAAGAGTCATGCAGAATTTTTAAAACCTAAAGTTAAATCACCTCAAAATGTAGGGTGCCTGGTTGGCTCAGGCCATTAAGCATCCCAGGGTCCTGGGATCCAGCCCCACACTAGGGTCCCGGCTCAGTGGGGAGTCTGCTTCTCCCTCTGCCCCTCCCTCTGCTCATGCTCTCTCTCAAATAAATAAATGAAATCTTTAAAAAAAAAAAAAACACCTAGAAATGTGCATGAGGAATCTAAAGTCAAGGTGTCACTCTTGGATGAAGAACTGTCTTGATGGTAAACTTCTTGAAGGCTGAATCTGGTTGTTGCAGTTTGGGGGTTTTTTCCTAAGTTTATAGTACCAAGCTACGGGGCAATTTCTATGGGCAACTGCTTTTTGTAATTTACGGAAAAAAATATTAACTTTATTGCTCTACATACTGCAGGGGTGGGTAGTTACATGGACAGAGACCTTACAGGGCAGCCTGAAGGCTGACAGGATCCTGGCTCTGTCACAGAAGTTTTCTGCTTTTCCGCAAGTCCCTTAACCTCTCCGGGCACAAGTCCCTCATCCACAAAATGGGACTATGCTGGATGGCGGCTGCATAGCTCATATATAAAGGATCCTAGCACATCATAGGTATTCAAAATAGGGTAACTATTGTTATTAAATGACAAATCAGCTAAAATTATTGTCTAAGTTCTGAGTGAGAGGGAACCCATTGAGGAGGAGGCCATCTTTAAATGGGCAGCGCCTTCATTTAAAATCTATTTCTCCATGTCAAAAAAATGCCTCTAGAAAGTACAAACTTGGCTAATATAATGAATTTCCATAGTGTCTTTAAAAACAGCATACCACTTGAATCCGTAACCACTCGAAGGCTGCATCCAGTTCTATTTTCAGCACAGATGTCAGATGTTCCTAGTTACAGGACCTTTAATGAGATGTGTCATTGCATCTCTACCACCTAAAGCTTCCCAGTGATTATGTTAAATAGTATAGACTGGAAGTCTCGAGCATTGAAAGCACCACTTCCGAGTAGAGCTGCCAAGTGTAGGTGAGAAAACCACTCCCAGCCAACATTACCATCTGGTACTGGATCTTCCTCAACTATGTACCTTATTGAAAGAATAAAGCTAAACTCCCTGAAATCAAGAGGCATAACAATCTTCCAACATCCTTGTGGTGTTATCTAGATTAGAACCTGGCTCTTCCAGCACTTTCCAAAATCTAAGGTATGCAATTAAGAGTCACCATGCTAGAGATCATCTAGGTAAATACACCTGTGCAGAATCTTTTCTGGAAGCAAAAAGAAAGGTGGATAATTAAGTCTGTCTATAACCATAATTTTAAATTCTACTGCAATTAACTTCAAATCTTGCTTCCACATTTCTCTACTTACTTCACCTGGTAATTTGCATCCAATCTGCATATCATAGTCTGTTCCTAACTAGTTACCAGAGTGAATTATACATGATTGAAAAGTCCAAATAGAATATTGGTAGAGTTCTTGAAAAAAAATCTAGAGACTAACTTATTCTATCCCAGAAATTTTGAATATCTGATACTCAGATTGACTGTACACAATATTTGTCCTACACTAAAATATTCTGATGTTAATACTTGCTTGAACTTAATAACTTTTATCTTAGGGAAATGCTAGAGGAAAAAACTTACTATCCTACGGAATGTTTTTTCAGAAGCTATTTTAATATTCAGTTGAGTGTTGTTCGAAAGCAGAGATTCTCAATCCTAGATTGACATAAAAGCCCCCTGAGGACTCTTAAAAATACTGATTCCTGGGCCTTGGCATCAAAAATTCCATATATATTGGTATGAGGTGAGATCCAAAGACCAGGATTTATTTTTATTTATTTATTTATTTATTTAGCTGCCTAAGTAGTCAGATTTAAGAACTACTGCTCTCAAGCTGTCTGGTTTTGAGAATCATTTACAGGCTTTATTTTAAAATGTTTCCTAGGCCCCACCCACAACTGCCAAGATCAGAATATACTGGAAGCATAGCTGGGGAAGGTTTACCACTTTTATCAAGTGCTTCAGAATTTTGAAAACAATTGCAGAGATATAAGAAAAGGGGATACTAACATGGTCTAGAGATAACTTTGAAAAGAAATGGGGGGTACCTGGGTGGCTTGGTCATTGGACGTCTATCTTCAGCTCAGGTCATGATCTCCGGGTCCTGGGATCCAGCCCCGTATCAGGCTCCTTGCTGGGAGAAAGCCTGCTTCTCCCTCTCCCACTCCCCCTGCTTGTGTTCCCTCTCTCGCTGTCTCTCTCTCTCTGTCAAATAAATAAATAAACTTAAAAACATATAAAGAAAAGAAAAGGAATGGAACTGGACATCATTGGAGTGCACATACTGGATATGAGGCGGCTTTGGAAAGTTTTGACAATTCATAGCGATTTTTCATCTCACTTGGAAACCTATCTGATTGAGAAATTCCTTGCAAAGAGAAACAAAATATGAATCTATTTAATTCTGTAATAGTAAAATCATAATTTATAAGGTACATTTTAGCCAACAAAATCAAAGCAGTTCACGGAATAATTGTATTAATTCTCAAAATATCATCTGAGTTGCACACTGAGGAATAGCCTGTAAATAGCTTTAAAAAAAAATCACTAAACCTTCCAAAATTCTATTTGCATGGGCTCTACCCAAGCTTAACAAATGCTACCCACCCACTCTAATAACAACAGACAACTCCTTCTTTACTTTTGCCAAAGTTGTAAGCTTTCAGGAAATACACTCAGAATTCCTGCCTAACACATACTTG